GGCTGACCCCAGCAGGGCAGGCTGCTCCCGTAAGGTGGACGCTGCTTCCCTGCCCTCGCCCTCTCCCCACTGCTCTGTCTGCGCCCTCACACGTGTGCTCTGGCTGTTTCTGTCCTGGGCACTGGGAGGAGCAATAGGAGAGGGACCGGCCTGGGAGAAGTGTCACAACCTGGGGACCAGAGTGTCGGACCCTGGAGTCCAGGATGCACCCCGTTCGCCCTAAGCATGTGTGTGAGTAGTGGCCAATGAGGTGGCACAGGCAGGCCTTTGCATTGAGTTTTGGAAGAAAATTCCAGGAGCACCTTAAAATAATATTTGGATGTGTAAAAGAACCAAAATCGGGAATTGTGAGTGTTAGGGATTCTTAGAGTTTCTTCTTGTACAAGCCAGGATTCTTAAGACATCCAAAGTTTTTCTCCTCAGGACATGAGTGTGTACATTGTGGCTTCAGGACCCTCTTGTCTTTCAGGACATGATGACATTTAAGGATGTGGCTGTGGAATTCACGAACTGCGAGTGGGATCTGTTGGACCTTGCACAGAAGGCCATGTACAGGGAGGTCATGCTGGAAAACTTCAAGAATCTGGCCTCCCTGGGTAAGTACAGCAGCTTCAAAGCCCAAAGCCTGTCCACTAGACAGTCTTCATTTTTTGGGGTCTCAAAATCTAGGGCCTCTCCTCCTAGTGGCAAAGTTTGTCCTTCAGTTTTGGAATCAGATGTTTACATTCTCGTGAAGGCATGGAAATACAGAGTATTTCTGATCCTTATTTCTAGGGAAAATCCTATTCAGAACTTTTGGAATGAGATATTTCATGATTCCGTACCTGACATCACTCCTTACATATTCTTTGGAGGCTAAGCAAACCTGTAATATCTCTCCCACCTAAAGGCCTAGGACCAGAGGCTTAAATCTGACATGTATAGTATAGTCACAGTCCTTTTCTTTCTGTGCCGTCAGGGCTTCCAGTGTCCAAACCCTATGTGATCTGCCAACTAGAAGAAGGGGAAGAGCCCTGTGTGTTGGAGGGGGAAATCTCAAAAGGTACGCACTCAGGTGAGTGACATGAGTGAGACCTCAGAAACCTCACACATGACAGCCAACATGGTGGGAGTTACCTTGAACCCGTGCTCGTGGGCTCTCTTTGAAAGGTTAAGTTGCTTTCCAGGAGCCCTTGCCTGGCTTTGGAATATTCATAGGCTTTGTGACTATCTGAAGCATCAGCATAAGAGGTGTTCATTTTCTCTAGCATTTACTCTTCCTTTGATACTGTTCTTTGCTCATTCCTCCCTTCAGCATCATTAGCTGTCACACTATCACTGTTACATGGGGTCTAAGTCATGGTCAGGTGATCCTGTGTCATCAGGATTCAGGGTGTTAGCAGATGATCAAACAGAAGAAAGGTTGAGAAGCCTAGAAGTTAAATGGTGACAGACATGATGTTAGGAAAAGGTGAGGAGACTGCAAGATGATGAAAATGAACCTCACCAGAGGAGGTCTCAGGAACAAACACATTGTGCCAGTCCAGCTGCAGACATCTCTTTGACATTGTTTATTCCAGGGGACTTGAGAGTAACTGGTAGGGTCCCCCAGGATCTCTGCTCCAGAATTGGAGCAGAATTATAGACTCAAAGCTCTCCTGACAGCCATGTGTAGCTCAAGCATACTGGAGGCAGTTGACAGTCTGTGCCTGTTTCTTTCTCTGAGGCAGGGTTCAGAGCCTCAGGCCAGAGCTGAAAGTCAGAAATCAGCACTCAGTCCTGAGAGCACAGCTGGGGCCTGATCACAGGAGCCTAGACTAGAGGACAGAGAAGGAAGATAGTGATCTTCCCTGTACTAGTATTTTCTTGGTTATCTTTCTTCCTGAATGACAGCCGGGGTCTGAATCTAGATCTAGTCTCATGGTCAGTAGCTACAGTATTTACAAACATGATTGTGTTTCAGCATTCTTGGGGAACTTGTAAAGCTTTCAGATCGTAGGAGCCCCACTAGACCTCCTGACTCAGCATCTGACCTCTGGGAACACTAGTTAGACACTGCCAGTCATTCCCCTCTGCAGAAGTATCTTTATTGTATTATATAGTTCTCTGTTGTTGAAACAAATTGCCCAAACTTATGCATTAAAGTATTATAAAGTGATTATAGGTCAGAAGTCTGGCATGCATCTATATGTTTAAAATCACAGTTTGACTGAGTTCATAGACCTTTTTTCCCAACATGGCTTTTCTATTTAGTAAGAGATGCAGTATGTGCAAAGCCTCTTCCACACTCATTACATCTGTAGGGCTTCTCTTCAGTATGAAATCTGTAATGTTGAGTGAGAGTTGAACTCTGACTGAAGTTCTGCATTCCTTTCTGGACTATCAAGGGACAAACCTGCTCCTTGATCGTTTGATTAGCTGGCAGATCTTCTTCCTTTTAGTGACCGGTAAGGTCCTCATTATCTTTCCAGCTACAATGGGAGGGAGTCCCCAGCTTTTAGAGATGGCCACATTCCTTGTCTCATGATGTCATTCTTTCACTTTCAGTCATGACATTGGTTGAGTTCTCACACATCAGGTCTTTCTCTCCCAGTCAAAAAATGTCCTTTGGTTTGAAGAATTAGTGTGATTAGATGGGGCCCATTGGAATAATCCAAGATAGTTTCTCACCTCAAGGGCTATGCTCTTAATCTAAAGACTCTTTTGCCACGCCACGGTCACATATTTACAGGTTCTGGGACTCAGACAGTGATATCTTAGGGAAGAATTATTTTGTCTATCAGTTTATCTCTTGTTCTTGTTATATGTAGTAATATAATGCATATTATGCATGCATGTATATAATACACAATGATGTTTGGTGTGGAGTGATGTGCTGATGGAGATTTGTAGAGGGCACCTACCTACCCTCTTCTTGTTTTTTCAATCTTTGCTTTTATTTTGCATTGTGGCTCAGTGTTCTTTCAAGTTTTCCCAATCATCTTGATTACTTTTCACCCCAAAATCTCTTCAGACATTTGCCATTCTTATGATAACTATACACTTCTTTTAATATTATTTTAAAAATTAATTATTTTACATTCATTAGGGACTTCACTTCCTTTTGTTATACAGAGTAGGTAATATTGAATGCCACCTCCACCTCCCTGCACTGGGAAAGAAGGCCTTAAGTCATGGAATCAATACCAAGTCAGAGAACTTCCAGAGAAGTACCATCAATAGAAACTTCCAGGTACCATCAATAGAAAAACACATCAGTGATGGTATAAGTCCCTTCAAACCAACAACAACCTATGGTTGTGTTGTTTACCAGTTAGAAATGGATCTGAAAAGATGTGAAAGACATGTCATTCATTCATGAGTCTACTACAACCATGTTTAGAAGGATAATGTATGGAGGGAATTCAGAAGAAGATTTAAGATCTGTCACTATTAACCAGTACAGTGTTTCCACAGGTGAAGGATCCTATAAATGTGATATGGAATTCAGAGAGACTTCAGGGAGAAGTATTTGTCAGAAAATCCATCCAGTGAAGAAGTCATGTAAGTGTAATGAATGTGGGAAGTCCTTTCATTTCCAATCAGAACTTAGGCGCCATCAGAGATGTCATACTGGAGAAAAGCCCTATGAATGCAGGGAATGTGGGAGAGCCTTTGGCCATATTTCATCCCTTATCAAACACCAGAGAACTCATACTGGAGAAAAGCCCTATGAGTGCAGCGAATGTGGGAGAACCTTCAGCCAGAGTTCATCTCTTGTTCTACATTACAGATTTCACACTGGAGAGAAACCCTACAAATGTAACGAATGTGGGAGAGCCTTTGGTCACACTTCATCCCTTATTAAGCACCAGAGAACTCATACTGGAGAGAAGCCTTATGAATGCAGGGAGTGTGGGAGAACCTTCAGCCAGAGTTCCTCTCTCATTGTACATTATAGGTTTCATACTGGAGAGAGACCCTACAAATGTAATAAATGTGGGAGAGCCTTCAGCCAGAGTTCATCCCTCACTCAACATTACAGATTCCATACTGGAGAGAAGCCCTACAGATGTAATGAGTGTGGGAGAGGCTTTGCGCATACTGCATCTCTTACTAAACATCAGAAAAACCATGCTGGGAAAAAAGGTCTATGAACTCAGCCAATGCAGGAAGGCTTCCCGCTGGAGTAGATATACTATTTAAAAGTCAGAGAATATATATTGAGGAGAGATCCTGTATTTATAATGTATGTGGGAAGCCTAGGTTAAAGGATGTATCTTCTTTAGCATTTGAAGGTACATAAGAGAAGTGCTGTCAAAGTAGAGATCAACTTTAACTCATACCTCCTCCCTTACCAAACACTATTAGTTCATTTAGTGAGAAGCAAGTGACTGTAATGAATGGAAGTTTTAGTTTGAGTACACACATTATCCAATAACTGGTAGTTTATATTAGGCATCAGAGAGTTCATCCTTCAGGAAATTTTTGTGGATTTGGTAATGTGGGAGAACCCTCTCTGTCAAGCTACTTCCCTTTATTAACATCAACGAAATTATGCTGCTAGTCAGAACTGTGGCATTGTAATTCATGTGGGGAAACCTTCATGGATATTCCATCCCTTTGTACATCAGAGAATTTGTACTGGAGGGATTCTTGAATTTTAACAAAACTGGAACACCTGTTAATATCATTTAGACTGCAACATTCAATGATACTTCACCCCAGAGAGCAACGTTTCTTTTCAGACCTGAAATTTATTAATCTAAGGCAGAAAGGAAACTGAGAAATCACCTGGGCACCAAATCACCTAATTTTCACAATTGTATACATTTGCAATCGCAGTGTGTTCTTCCTCCCTATCCTTTTATTGATAGAATGGAGTGGGGGGTGTTCTTGTGTGGATGAAGAGAATGAGGCTGGGAATGAGGCAACATCAGTGATTGAGCCCAGCCATATTTTAGAGCTAAGGCAACCTATCTTCAGTTAAGCTCTACTTCCTAACTTGCAGCCTAATTGGGCTTCTTTCCTGGCTCACAGCTGTAATTGGGGGATTGAGAGAACAAGGCCTTCTCTGTAGAAAACCCCATAAACTTGTTTCCTAAGGGGTAATGAGTGTTATGTTTAAGTTTCAGAAGAAAACAATTCTTACTAGAATTTTATGCTACTAGATTTGGATTTTTTAAAATAAAATGAAAACCTTTTGAACACTAAAGTCAATAAAAAACTCAAAACCTGAAAACTGTTATTGTAGATGGTATAGCCAGATGCCAGGGTCACCTATTGTATAGTTCCATTATATAAAATACAAAAAATGCAAATCTTCAGAGGCAAAGTAAGTTAGTGGCCTCCTCGGGTTGGGAGTAGCAGCTGTGCTAACAACTGGGAGTGACTGCAATGTTAGAAGAATCTTATTAGGGTTATAGAAATGTTCTAAAAGATGATTGTGGCAAACTTACTAAAAATTATTGTATTGTGCCCATAAATGGGTAAATTTTATGGAATGTAATTATATATCTAATCACTTAAAAATCCAATATAGTAAGTGCTCACTTAATGACTTCAGTTTTTTTCTTTAATTGAATTGAACTGATGTATAATAAAAGAAAACCCTCAAATAACCTCTTTTTTATGTCTTCTGGAATACTTTTTCTCATTAATGCTATAATGAAACATTGAACTCTAGGTTTTTCAAGAAACTGCCATACACAGGTATTTTCCTGTCTTCTCTATTAATTCAAAAGACATTTGTGTGTCTTTGGTGTCAGTTTTTTTCCCTGTGGTTTTTTATCTCTAAGCTTACTGTGTCTTAAGTTCATATAAAGAGAAACGGGGACTATGATTTGCAAGAACAGGAGAATTCTGACTAAAATAAATTAGCTTATACTAGAACATTGCTTCAAGCATTTAGGATCTAGAGGAGGAGGGAGCCAAGCCCAAAATCCAGGGACCCAGTATTCACTGTCTTCTTGTAGACAGGAAGGAAAAAAAAACATACAAGTCAGCAAATGAAAAACAAAACAGTACGTTGACATTGAGCTTGGTCTGACACCTTAGGCAGAAGTTATTCATTATCAAAGTCTCTGTTCAGCCCAAGGGTATCGGTCAACTGTTAGGTATCTAAAGAACAAATGCTCCTAGAGTATCTTAGAGAATCCTCAGTTTGAAATCCTCTTTTGGACTAGGCTGCCAGTTATGTCAATTTTGAATTTCTTCTTTACTTGTGAATTGTATACCCAAGAGTTGACTCCCTGGAATTAGACTGCTGTATTTGTTGATAAGTGTACCTATAGTTTCCATACAATGAGGTTCAAAAACAATTTTTCTCTGGTGCTTCTTGCAATAGACATTAAAATCTCAAGGGGCTGTTTACCAAGATGTGGGAAGCAGGTCATGCCTTTTGGTAATAGGAGAGGGTGTAGTTTATTACTCCCTTGCAGTATTTTGTCTAGACTTGGAAGTGAAGTCCCAAATAAATGTGCCTTCTGAATACCATTTGTTAGGAGGTAATTCATTATCCCAGGAGTGAACCTTTTGGCTGTAAGTGTTCCTGGGAGTACCTTCAGCTAGGGAGCTGATGGGATTCTGAGAGTTTTGCTAATTTTAAGTTATGGGTGCCATTGGTCCGTTCAGTCTTCCAGTTGTAGGTGGTAAGGGCAACATGGTTTTTGAGTATGGGGTAGTGCCACATGGAATCCTGTTCTAGTTCCTGCAAAATGCATGCCTTGATCACTTTAAGTTTGTCTCAGGCATTCTGTGGGGGCGGAGTGGGGAATGGGATTAAAAACGGGGGGGGGGGGGGGAAGGGAGGGAAATGCATGGGACTATGGTGGTGGCACAGGGGTGATTTGGTGATGGGAAACCCGCGGGGATTACAATCGAGATGGAAAAAAAAATTGTGCAAAATGATGTAAAAATAAACTTTGTAATAAAAAAAAAGTATGTCTCAGGTTGAAAACACAAAATCAAGCAGTTTTTAGTGACTGTGAAGACTATAGCTTTTCAACATATATATGCTTCAAACATACATACAACATCTAAAACATTAAAAGCTTATGAAGGGAAGAAATTGGAAAAATCAATCTAAACCCTCCACGGGGGTTTGGTTCCTGCCCATATCTCACCTTAAGAGTTTTTGAAGAACTGTGTTGACACGTGACCTAAAAAGAACTTAATAAAATCTGCTCTTTTACACTTTATTCAACAATATTAAGGTATTAACCAATTTGTTTGCATTGTGATTTGTAGTTCCATAGAAAATAATTCCTCTTCAAGTCACCTGGCACCCCCAGTAGGTCATCATAGGGCACCAGAGATCATCTGAGTAAAGTGTGAATATTTTACCTTCTTTTTCTACCTGTTTCTCTTTATGGGAGTGTTAAGTGTTGATAATTTATAAGGGCCTCTTTGAATTCCTCCAGGGGGTTACTACCTCTTCAGGGTTTATTTAAGAACCTTATCTTAATTAAGGCTAATTATGTGGCATAATGACTGATAGAGCATTTTCTTTTACTTCCACCTTCCATGTTTCACAAGCATGAACCTCAAGTCTTATAGAAGTAGGCATTAGAAGGACTGAATCCATAACTTCAAGACAGTCTCATGGTGGGTCCAATAGATCCTGGAATCTATGCTGTGATTATTTTCCCAGTTATGGAATACATAATTGGGTTAAATATAATCAATAAATGACAGACTTTCCATACAACTTCCATCACCTTAGAGTAGCTGCTGTAATAGTAAGAAAGGCCAAGAGGAAGCCATCAGAATCTTCTCTACCTACAAAAATAATAAAGCAAAAGCAATGATCCCAAGGGATTGCAGAGATGGGTGCCACCATTAAGGACTTGAAAGAAGATTTTCTTCCTAGTAAGTATGCATAAAACATCCAGTTGGTCTCTGCGTAAGACAGATGGAGCTTGTGAATGACAGCCAGGGACTCCAACTGTTTCAGGTGTGGCTTAATAGCTGGGACAAATCAACATATTCTCTGGGACCTGGTATGCAACTGTTGCTCTGGTTGCTGTTTTTTCTTATCCTGTTAGTCAAGACCATGTGAAGCTGTGTACTTTCAGATCCAAAGTCAGAAGGGTACCTTCAGGTCTTACCTCAGGAATACAGACCAGCTCTCCAGCCCCTTGTCACAACCTAGGCTGAAGGGGAGCTCTCATTTAATAGGTATACAAGTTTCTGTTTTGCCAGGTGAAAACAGTTGTAGAGATGGATGATGGCAGTGGTCTCAACAATTTGAATGTCCTCAGTGACAATCAACAGTCACCTTAAATATGGCTGAGATTGCCATATACCAGAGACATTTTGAGGGGGTGGAGTGGGGAATGGGATCAAAAACGGGGGTGGGGGGTGGGGAGGGAAGTGCACGGGACTATGGTGATGGCACACGGGTGATGGGAAACCAGCGGGGATTACAACTGATATGTACATATATATATATATATATATGTACAAAATGATGTAAAAATAAAAAAAAAACCTTTGAACCTTAAAAAAATATATATGGCTGAGATTGCAAATGTATTTCACCGAGTTAAAATTTCAGGATATTCCTATTATTTTTTGTTTATAATGGCCCCAAACTGGAAACTAAAGATTCTACAATGTTAAATATTCTATTAAATATTCTACAATGGCTAAGCGAAAAGGAAAAACACCAACAAACGTTGATACCTGGGTGGACGTGCTGAGCGAAAAAAACGAGTCTCGAAAGTCTGACTCCACTTTTTCCATGATAAAATTTTCCAAATGACAAAATTAATATGAGAGCACACTGAGAAGGGCTGCAGATGGGGTGGGAAGGGAGAGAAGCGGGAGCTGGAGGTGGTCATGAACAGCTTCTCTATACTGTTTTATTCGTCACTTGGATCTTCACTTGGCCCTTTCGGCTCGGTGTTCGCCCGAACTCCGGACTGCCGGTGGAGGGCCCCCAGCACGGATCCCGGTGTCCGCGCCCAGGAGTCCGCCCGGTGGCGACGGGAAACTGTCACCCGCCCAGGAGTCCGCGCGCCGCTCAGATTGGCGACTTCCACTCCGCAGAGGACAGCCCCGCCCTCCCCCGCCTCCAGTCCAAGCCCCGCCCGTGGGTCCTAGGGGGAGGACCCCCGCATGGCTGTCTGCGGCGACGCCGGACTCCTCTTACCCTTTTGCGGGGGTACGGGCCCTCTCCCACCCCGGCCTGCGCTGCGGCGCGGCTCCCTAGACCCAGGGCGTTAGCCGCGGGCCGAGGCGCGCCGCCCCACGA